GGTGCCGGAGGCTGCCCGGGACGAGGGCACTGCCTGCCCCACGCTGCTGGAGACCAGGAGGTGCCGCATGAAGAAGCACTGCCCGGGAGGTGAGCACCGCGCCGCCGGGGCTGGGGACAGCTTCCCGTCCCTCCAAAGCGAGCCCGAGGAGCGCTGCGGGGCGATGGTGGCAGCGGGGGTCTGGCAGCGGCGGGCGAGCCATGCTGTCATCCCCCAAGCATTTTGAAATTCTGGGTAAAGCCGTCATCTCAGGCACATGTGCTGAGCAGTCCTAGAGCTGGCTGCTCCCACCTGGCAGTCCCCGAGACTGCCTGGGACGAGCCAGTGTCCCCTTCCATGCTGGGCTGGACTGGGCTGGGCACTGGCACGAACCGCCGTGGTGGGATGAGGCTGCCGAGCTCCAGCTCCCATCCTGCCTCGACGTGAAGGGACGCTTTCTGTACTGCAGCTGTGGGTGAGGAGGGTTGAGACACACAAGGGAAGTTCCTGCAAAAACCTCTGAGCTCCCCAAAAGCTGCAATGCTTGTGGAGCAGGAAGGCATCACCCAGGGGATTTCTGATGACCAAAGTTTTGGAAGACACCCCAGGGCACAGTCCCACTCCATGGCTCATCTGACCAGATGTTCACTCATGCTCCTACACTTCCCCCCACCTCATTCCCAGCCTGGGGGCTCCCTGGCTCATGGATCTCCCCACCTTTCACACACCAGAGCCGCTGCAGGGTCTGTCCAGGCGGTGCGTGCACGGGTGCAGGGCTGGCGATGGGAACCAGGACACGGCTGATGTCATTTTTGGATTCAGGCATCTGGACTGAAGCTACCCTAATAAATCTCCACTTAATAACTGGCAGAAAGGGGGATGCATGAGATACCGATCTGAAGTGCCTGGCAGCAGATCTGAGCCACCGAGGGTTGCGGTTCGGAGCTGCGGGATCCCTCTGCCGTGGGATGAACTGGCCGGCACCGCCAGCGTGGCAGGGATCAGGGAGGACAGGACTGTGAGGGTGGAGAGAAAAAGGATGAGGAAGGGGGGCAACAGCAGAGGACGTGCGTGCTGGGCGAGGGCCACGGAGCAGGAGAGAGGTTTCATCCCAGCACCATCAATCATAAGTAATATTTTCCTGCTGACAGTGCAGAGGAGCTGATTCCCTTCCCCACCCAGGTCCCAACTCACGTCTTTGGGATGCCAGGTGGCATCGATTTTGAGGATGTTCCCCTCCCTGCTGGTGTGTGCCAGCTCCAGACCCACAGAGCTGGTGACAGTTTGATGCAAGAAATTTAGTGTGGGAGGACAGGCTCCCTCACTAGTGCACAGGGAGCACTGTGTCCTGGAGCACCGTGCCCATGCCCTGCCCTGCCTGGCACACAGCGGGTCCCACTGGCAGGGACTGCTGTGCCAGTGTTTCAGGGGCACCTCATCTTGTGAAGTTACTGGGAAGACACCCCAGAAAAGTGTTTGGCCTCCTGCCTCTGCCTGTGCTCCTGCAAATTGGAAGCCCTGGGGCTCCAGTGATGGGCTCAGGGACTGGCAGGACTCTGCTCTTGAGGCTGCTTTCCGGGATCAGCTTCAGAGACAGGCCTGTTCCCTGTCCAGCAGAAGGAATCCCATGAATGCCCCCCAAGCAGCCCCCTCAGGAGAGAGCCCCTCCATGCCTCCCGCTCCTGGGCAGGCTGTTCAGAGTCCCTGCCACGGCAGAGTGTGTGTCTGCCCTCGCTCCCAGGCTCCTGCCCGCCTGGCCAAGTGCTGGGTTATGGGATCCAGATGCTGGAGGAGGACGAGGAGTTCACTTGATGCATCTGAGACACCCCCAGCCCAGGCGAGCCAGGGCAGGCGGCCGAACCCGACCGTGTGATGAGAGATTTGTGCCACCACTTCTGAGCCATCCAGGCGGCTGGAAGGGAAAAGCTGCCGCGCTTGGCCATGGCACAAACCCCTCGTGCTGCTGTAAATCTGCCTTGGGTGTCTGTCCCGCTCTCCAGACGCTTGGCGTGCGTGCCGTGCCCTCTCCTTTGTGGGTGGCAACTGTCTGGAGATCAGAGCCGAGAAACAGGGTTTCAGAGCCAGGCAGGACAAGAACTGGAGCCCTCAGAAGGGACTGAGGACAACAGTGCTGGCACACGCAGCACCAGGGACAGTCATGGTCCCTTGTGCCCCTCACACCACCGAGCCCCCACCATGTGCCCCTGATTGGAGTGGGCGTTGGGGGGCAAGGACTGACAAAGCTGCCCATTTTTTGGGGCAACCATTCTGATCTGTAGCATGGACTCCCCCTCCCACTGGAGCCCATGGCACAGCAGGGTTTATCCTGAATCCCTGTTTCTTTGGCATCTCAGCACCAACACTTCAGCCAGCTGGAAGTGTGTCGCAGCTTCTCTGAGCAAATATTTGGGTCCCAACAGCCTGACCCTGGAAAGCTGGCAGTGGGTTGTCCTGGGATGCATCCAGGCTCCACCAGCACCAGCTGGTTGTGCCATGGGGATGGGGACAATCCACAGGTGGAGGACATCCCCAAGGAGAGAGAATTAGCATCTATGCAAGGATGCACTCCAAAGCCACCTTGCTTCCCACCATGCCCAAATCCTCCCAGGGGCTGTCTGGGTCCCACGGTGGTGGGCAGGTTCCCGCATCATGGCAGAGCTGAGCACAGCTGTGCCATGGCTTTGGGGTGTTGGTGCAGCCGCTGTCCCTCTCCAACACCCACAGCCCTTGCTCAGAGAGAAGCTGGGGTTTCTCCAGGCAGCTTCTGCTTGGGTTGAGCTGCCCCACCCCATTCCTAGGGATTTTGGGGTACCAGGACTGAGAGTCCAGCCATGGGAGATGTGGGGACAACACTCCAGTGTCCCTCTGCCCATGCCATCAGCACACCCAGACCCCCACAGACCCACACTGCCGTTTCATGACCGGGAGAGGGCTCTGGGATCCCCAAAATCAGAAACTGGGTGGAGCACTAACAGCCTGAGAGAGGATATGGGATCAGCATCCCATGGATGGGGCTCAGGTCAGATCATATTGCCTGGCCAATAAGTGAGCTCTCCTTTTCTCCTCCTTTTTCTGTTGCAGAGAAAACTGAACCCAAAAATAAAGGCAAAAAGCGACAGAAGAAGCCGAAGACAGAAAGGCACATGGGCACCTAGCATGCTCCAGCATGGGAGCTGGGGCACCATGGCAGGAGCTCCCAGCCAGCTTCTGCCACAGTGCTCCAGCCACATCACCCTTGATTTTCTATACACCAAAAAAACCAAAAAAACAAAAAACAAACAAAAAAAAACCAGAAAAAAAAGAAAAAGAAAAGAAAAAGAAAAAAAAAAATTGCACAATTTTCTCTGCCCCCTCATCCCCCTTTTCTTTCGAGACAATTTATGGCCTGTAAAACATTTCCTTTTCAGAAAATCTAATTTGCAATGTCCAAAGCAAAGCCCTAGGGCTTGGGGAGGGGGTGGCTCCTTTATTCCTCTGGTCTTCCCTCTCCCCTTGCTGCTCCATCCCTTCCCTTCCTGCAGACGTGTGGGACGGGGTTAGACCGGGGTTGGACCCTGCTAATGAAGCTGATGCCTGCCCAGATAGTGTTTCCCAGGGCTGGGAGATGCCCTGGCTCCACAAGGTCCTGATTTTATGGGAGTTCTGGGGGCACAGTGCCCCACTGAGCTGCTCCAGGTGCCGGATAGTGTCCCCCATCCCCAGCCACAGGCACGGGAAGCAGCAGGACTCCTGGGGCTGGGACCCCACTGGGGACCGTGCCACTGCTCACTGCAGCCCAGCCTGGTGCTCAACATTCCCAGCAGCACAACCAAGGGCCAGGTCCTGCTCTCCTGGGACTCGGAGGGTAGCTGGACCTCCAGACTGGAAACCCTTCTTGGGACCACGCCAGCCCAGCACTCAGCACGCTCATGGGCCAAATCCTGCCGTCCTCGGGCTCCCAGAGAGGTTCAGAAAGCTTCTCTCCCAGCTGGATGTGGGCACAGGAATTTGGGGTGATTGCATCTGTGTTCAGTCTAGGACAGGGACGTGCACAGCGCGAGTGCCAGCCCAGGCAGGGGATGCTGCTGCCTCCTGCGTCCCCAAGCTGCGATGTGTTGGAGGCAGCTCTGCAATCCCCTCCCAGCCATCCCGGCGGGGTGCTGAGCCCGGGCGGGCCAGTCTGTCTGTCCCTGCCGGGCTGTGTCCACAGGCACAGAGGGCCCTATCGGTGTGTACACCATGTGTGTGCTTCGTTCGCTGCCCAGCCGCAGGCAGCTCTGCCTTTGGAGTTTGCCGGGGTCCGATCTGCCGGTCCCGGCCCTGCGGGTGTGGAGGCGGCGGGGGCCGCACGGACCCTTCAGGACGGGAGCGCTGGGTGTCAGCAGCGAGCCAGCCCCGGAGCCGGCACAAAGCTGCCAGAGCAGCTCCTCCGATCGCTTCATGACAAATAAACGGATTAAACCCCCGGCATTGCTCCTGCGTCCCTGTTTTCCCCATTCCCACGAGTTGCTGCCGGAGGGGGTCTGGGATGCTGGCCTTGGCCACGGTGCAATCCCACATTCCCCAGCTCTGCAGCTTGGGTCTCTGTGGGGGACATCCTGCCCTGGCCCCCCAGCACTGGGGTACTGGGGAAATATCTCATTTCAAGTTTTTATTTAGAGTACCACCAGCATCACTCATTGCCTGGGCCGGCCCTGGGGCGAGCGGCAAGTGTGACACTGGGACGGCCATTCAGCGGGATTGGGAGCCACCAGGGTTTTTTTCTGGCTATTGGAGAAAATCCCCCTCTGTTAAGATGCTTGGGCATCCCCTTGGCAGCCTGTCCCCACCACTGGGATGTCTTCTCCTGGGGGACACAGCCGAGATCCTGTCCCAGCACATGGACAGACGTGGTGACCCCGGTTCTGCTCAGAGTCCATCAGCCCCCAACAGACCCCCAGCCTGGGATCCGGGCACGGCGGGCCCAGCGCAGCCTGGCTGTGTCCTGCCAAGCTCTGCCTGGGACACAGCCCTCCTCCTGGTCCCCACGGGCTCATCCCATGGCCAGAGCAGCAAAATCCAGGCCTGGCTCCCGCTGGCATTATAAATAGCCGGGACCGGGGAGGGAGCTGTGCTGCCGGGGATGGGGGAGCCTGGGTGTGGTGAATCCCAGCGGGTGCTGATCGGGGGGACTCGCTGGGTGCAGGGCTGGGCGATGGGAGGGCTCGGTGCTGCCGTGGCCCTGTCCAGCCCGGGATGTGCAATGAGTTCTGCAGAGAACGGCCGGGGGCAGAATGGGGCTGTGAGTGTGTGTGAGTGTGTGAGTGTGAGAGAGAGAGAGAGACATTTATAGATCACGTGTGAAACTTGATCTCCCCGCAGTGGACTCAGAGGAAAGAAAAAAGATAGAAGTATTGTTTTTAAACAGATTTTTTTTCCCTTTGTTTTTTCTTTT